AGTAGTAGTAGTAGTAGTAGTAGTAGTAGTAGTAGTAGTAGTAGTAGTAGTAGTAGTAGTAGTAGTAGTAGTAGTAGTAGTAGTGGCAATACACAGTCTGTATAACATTCTTATGCTCTGCTAGTGGGAGTATGAGATACAAATGATGTAACGGTGGGTAAAACCTACATCTCTCAGATTATTTTTGCTCCTCCAAAATCAATAATGTGTTTCTTTTATCACAATTTCTGCAAGTAGRTGTTTTGTAATTTTCCAGTAAGTATAACAAAATCCTAACTCTCTCTTTTCAAATCATTTTTAAGGGTATTTGGGTCCCAGAGGGTGAAACTGTGAAAATTCCTGTGGCCATCAAAATCCTTAATGAGGCCACTGGACCCAAGGCTAATGTGGAGTTCATGGATGTGAGTATCTTGAAAATGATTTATTCCTGAAAGAGATTTCTGTGTTTTCATTTGTACATGACCGCTCCAGTTTAGTGTTTGGTATTGTAGCTCAAGCTTGACCACGRTTGTCAAGATGGAAATCATAAAATAATGATCTGACTCAAAGCTCTTGTCAAAGGTTTGTAATGAAAGCTGTGAAAAATGTAACCTTTAAAAAATAGTCCATAAAATAATTTATTTCATGCAGAATATCAACAAAATAAAATCAAAACACAATCACTTTAGCTTTTTATTGTGACAAGGCAGTTTCCATAAAATGATTTTTTAATACAAACTGATTAAAAGGAGATCCTGGTTGTTAAATGAGGTTGCTGAGAACAAATCTTAGACCCCTGTAGAATCCCATCATCCCTACCTATGTAGACTCACACACACATCATGCATTTGGCTTCCAGCACAAGGAACAAGGCCCCATTTATAAAACATTCACAGCTTGGCTCATCTCAAAAGGAACAGAGCAAAAATCTAAATTATTACACTGTAATGATGCAATGCAGATGAAATAACTCTCATCAACACACACACATCGACACACACACACATTAAAAGTGACCCACTTGCACTCATGTTTTGCACTTAGTTTGACAGTCTAAAAGGAAGAGTCCTGGTGTGTTAGCATTTCTATTTTTATCATGATGTCTTTGATGAATTTCCCTTGTGTCTTTAATATTACCTTCTATGTGCTTTGGGAGCTTATTTGACAATCAGAACCTTGGATGTGTGTACCTGACACAGATGAAGGTTATATGTTGACATATAGCCTCTCTCTGCGGTGGATCCTTATCTGCCTTAAGGGCTTTTTTTTTTTTTTTGTGATTTAAGAAATGGCATGAAGGAGGCGTGTCATACTCTTGGTGGCAAAGTTATTGCAGGTCTTTACAGTGATTCATGTTCTGAAGGTGTAGGTGTCACTTGAACTCTTATTAGACAACTGGACATAATAGGTACAGCATGTTTATGACACCAAGTACAAGTATTGCCCAATATTCATGAATCAAAATATAAAATTACAATCAAAGTCCTTAGATTAACTACTGGACTACCTCCACTGTTTCAAACTATTTTGTCTATAGCCTTTTTTTTTTACTTTACAGCAAGTGTTCACCATAAAAAAACATATGTTGTTTAAGTCAGGTACTTATGTCACATTTGTCAGGTAAATGTCCCTCAGTAAAAAAGACACACATAAATGTGTCCATGTATATAGCTTTGTAATAGATTGGGTTTTAAAAAATGCAGTTCATCATCTTTATTGCCATACAGTATTATTATTATTATTATTATTATTATTATTATTATTATTATTATTATTATTATTATTAATAAGTGTTTTGGGTCCAGCTTGTTTCCCAGGAAACATCCATGATGACTGAAAAGCTAAATCACGCTGCTGTTTATTTTCTTTACCCATGCTTTATGACACCTCTGGGAAATGTAAGGGATGACCTTCTTGCTGCAGGCCACTCACTTCTCACTGACGTTTTGAAGAATGCCTCAATACAATTGAAAGTTTGCATCAATGAGTTGTTTTCCCTGTGTCTAGAATGCCATTACCCGAGGAGCACTTTATTTTTTTTTCTTTTTAACCTGCAATAAAATGTGCATGAACAAAATGTTGCCTCAGTCACAGTTACATAGACAGAAAACAGGGCAGGGATTTGGCACGTGTGTATTAATCAAGTGCATTCAAGTGTATGTATGCAACACAAGTGTCTCCAACAAAACAAGGTCAGTACAAAATAATGTGTCTCAAGGCTTGTTTTGCCTGCAGCAGGTAACAATGTTGGTCCTTTAAAACTTTGTTTTGTGTTTTTTTTTTTTGTGTGTGTGTTTTTCCTATTAAGCACTTTTGCTATTGTGCTTTTTTCTTGTTTAGACCTTTATTTAGCTGTCAGTGTACACAGCACACATCAGAGTATGGTTAATTAATAAGAAATTAAAAATAGCATTAAAAGCAYTTAGGTGCCACTTTTAATGAAGGAACATAAAATAACTGTAAATACAGCATCTTCTACAGTGTTTATAAACATTGAATGAACTATTAAAACTTCCATTTGTTTTAAAATACATTTTGTGAAACTGTCAAACAGAAAAATGCTGTTTCTTGCAGACTTTGACTTGATTTATCATCATTATCACCACATCTGTCAAGAAGCTGTGTAAATTCTAAACTATAAACTACAGGGATTAGACAATGAAACTGAAACCTGTCATTTTAGTGTGGGAGGTTTCATGGCTAAATTGGACCAGTCTGGTGGCCAATCTTCATTAATTACACATTGCACCAGTAAGAGCAGATTGTGAAGGTTCAATTAGCAGGGTAAGATCACAGCTTTGCTCAAAATATTGCAATGCACACAACATTATGGGCGACATACCAGAGTTCAAAAGAAGACGTCTTGCTGGTGCATCTGTGACCAAGACAGCATGTCTTTGTGATGTATCAAGTGCTACACTATCCAGTGTAATGTCAGCATACCACCAAGAAGGATGAAATAAATAACCTAACCCAACCATGTTTTTGATTTMTGGGCAGAAGCCAAAGTTTGTGCACATGCATAGGGAGAGAACACAAATTCAACACAGAATGCTTGCAGCTGGGTTTTGAACCTGCAACCTTTTTTGTCACAGTACAACAACTAAAATAACTGTGAAGGAAATTTTTGTAACTGATTAATTGAACGTTGGATGCAGTATTGCATTTTGTACTTTCTGGTCATTGCAATAAGTTTAGAACAGACAAAGAGTTGGTGTGTCGTCTCATCATGTGTTCTTTATTTTAGCCTATACAAAAAATGAGTTACGTTCTACGTTTGATGTAAAAAGTAACAACTCCAGGGGTGTAACTAGGAAGAGAATGACATTATAAGGTTATTTCACTATTATAGTAGAAAGAAGTTGTTAGTGTGTTGCAGAGTCTCACGGGATTGCTGTGTTTCGTTTTGGTTTTAGTTAAAGGCCTTACGCTGAGGCCTGTGCTGAGTGCTGTACTGTGAACCTGTTTGGAGTCAGAAGATTGAGAACAAAGTTTTAAGAAGAAATCCAGTGGATTGCTGCATTTATTCAGACATACGATTTTGAACAGTGCATTTTTTCTACAGCTGCACTGATATACTCCAAATAAATCAATGAATAGGTGGCTCAACCAGTCAAAAAAGTCTAAAAGATACACCATTTCCTTTCTTTCTCTTTCTTTTTTACTTATTATATTTTTAATGTAAGTGTTTATGTTAATGGTATGACTTCAATGAACCTAGTGTAAATCTTGCATTTCCAGGAAGCTTTGATAATGGCAAGCATGGAGCACCCTCACCTGGTCCGACTTCTGGGCGTCTGCCTGAGTCCCACAATCCAGCTGGTGACCCAACTCATGCCACATGGCTGCTTGCTTGACTACGTCCACGAGCACAAGGACAACATCGGATCACAGCTGTTGCTCAACTGGTGTGTCCAAATAGCCAAGGTAACACCTTTTTTTCCTCTCCTTTTTTATTGTTAGCTTGTTTCAGAGACTACATTGATAGTGATGGATGTAGTAACTTTTGTGACAGTAAACCATATCTGATGTGTTGTCAGWTGAATGAATGATTTGTTTAGATCACCTACAGTATAATGTATTTTAAAAACAACCAAACAACATGTATATTTTATCTAGTCGAGAGTGTAGTGACACTGCAGGATGATACTTGTTACATAGTTTATTATTGTTCCACAGGATTTGCAGCATCTTTCAACTAACTCATAACTGAGGTTAATAATTCATGGTTYTGCTTGACTTTGGTGGGAGAAAATATAGTTGCAAGATGCTCAGTGTTGCAGGAAGGTCATGGTGTGAATGCATTGTCGTTAGTTTTATTGTGGTGTCTGCATGCTGACATATGTGATCATTAATGGTCTGTGTCTCTGTCCTGATTTCTCTTAGACAGTAAAAGTAATATGCAAACTCACATTCCCCACGGATCAGACAAAAACAATAACACAAACAAAAATCCCATATAAAGCTGCTAAGCCTCAGAAACATTTTTTATCTAAAATTTATATTCTAAATACTTATTATTTTTTGCATGAGCATATATTGGTACATAGAAGTAGAAATTTACTATTATACTGTGAAATGTAAAATACCACTACATAAATCCTAATTATATATCAAAGCATGCTGCGTTTTATCACTGCTGATAAAACTGTCACACACAAAGAGTAAAATAATGGGTGGAAAAGAGAGAGAAGCAAAATCAAAATGTCTTAGTAACACATGCAGCCTGAGATTTAATATCTTACACAAATAATTCCGTTGCTGTTTTTGGCTGTATTCGAAACATGCAGTTCTCTTGCGAGTTTTCAAAAGAAATATTAAATCAAATTAAGTTTGGAACACACATTTCACACCCCACATAAAGTACTTGCAATAAGTTGTGCCATGAGTAACTTTTTTGTATCAAGTAACACAAAAAGCTTTTGTTTAATGGACACACTACAATTACATGAATTACTTTGTGAGAAGAAAAAACTAAAGAGTGGATTTATTTACCTAATTACTGTAAATTTCTGCTATGAACAGCTGTCAACATGAAAAATGCATAATTTATAAAGTGCAGATTTAATTATGTTTTATTTACCATTGTTATGTGTTTTTGTGTGTCAAGTATTTAGTGTTTAAAATACTTTGCGTCAGCCACTATACACAAACGGAGAACTCAAGTAATGAGCTGCAGACATTTGGGCTTTTGTACAATGTGGTGTCATCTGCAAAGATCTTACCTAAACAATAGCAACACAAAAAATACAACACATACCTCACATGTAGTGCTGTAGCACATTTTCAAAACTTGAGATTTGTCACATTTGTATTAATATTGGTTTAATATCCTTAACCTGAATSTATTATGACAGAGCAACATCTGCATGAAAGCAGCATTACTACAATGGCTAACAACAAAAGGCAGTGAAAACTCTGTTTCTTTTGAAGTCACTATAAAAAAGAGATGAAGATTTTATGTAAACATAAACCACTTTTTTTATTTTCCCTCTTTATTGTCACTACAGGTTGCATATTGCTGTGCCATGTTCAGAACAAAAAAAAAAGCCAGATATTTGACAAAATGGGTAAAATCATATGTTTCTAAAAATATTATGAGGTTTTATTCCATTTTTTGCATTTGTAGGAATTACATGTCACATGGACTTTAAAACTTCTGTAAGTGGCACAGCTCCTCTCAGAGGCAGCATCCCTCTGGACATGACCACCATCACAGCCATAGATTATTAATGATGTGATCTGCCATGAGAGCTGCACTAATGAGCAGATTTATCAGGGTTACATACAGTATACAAGAACAAGATACAGCATAATGTTAGTTTATATATACGTATATATTAGTGGTGCAAAGATACAGGAAATTCATGGTTCAGTTCGGTTCGATACTTTAGTCTCACGGTTCGATATTTTTTCGATACAAAAAAAGAGAAATGTCCATGCCCTTTTT